AGCCAATCGACAGCTGGTCAAGAGGAATTCGCCGTCGTCTTCTGGTGGAACCGACCTTCGAATCTCTTGATCCAACACTTCTACTCGAATTGGAAGTAATCCCAACAATAATTATGCATACAATGGACTCAGGACAAGGTGCGTTCCTCTAAGTCTTCCTACCAATATGACCAAATTACGAAAACAAGGTCAAACAACTTCTACCCATATTGCTGTCTAGCTCGGTCCTTGCAGAAAGCTCCACTACAGCCTCCAGACGAGCTCCGACTGCATGTGACTTTAGCACATGTTCCTTTTTGCTCATTCCATTCTCACCTGTAGCATCAACCGTCTTTTCTTCATCAATTTGCAGTCACTAGGGCAAGGAGGTTAACAAGTTTGCTGGCCGAAGTATTTACCCACCCTCCGGCTTTTAGCTAGGGACGCTTCGGAGATGTGCACATAAGAGTAGGCAAAATCAGATCCGTCCGTCTGTATTATGCCAGTGGGATGTCACGGTGATAGTGGTTACGCCTATTTACTCAGCAAAAGGCTAACAGTTTTGCCCTAGTGCCATAAAGGAGAAGTATCTTGTAGCCAGGTCGTTTTATAGTCATAGGATGTATCAAGTTGCTCACTCCCGGCAGATGGAGTCGACGCAGCCTCTCGCAGTGGGTGGTGACATCCTGCCTTGTATGTAGGTTGCCCCAGTAGCATGACAACTGGCCAAAGGGAGTCTTTTTGGTTGGACTTACAAGATAGTCGCCAAGCCTGTAATGTAGGTTCAGGCGGAGCGGTGGTAGGCCTAGTGCCATCATAGAGCCTGAGTATGTCTAATTCGATCCTAATCAACTCTTTTCGAAAGTTCTATTAGGAGGGCAGCGACATAGCCAGAACATGTATACATCCGTAAACCAAGTGGAAAGACGAGCAAGCCTGGCAGATATCAAGAGAGCGAGAGAGAAAGGGAATAGATACAGAAGTATAAGGAAAAAGATACCCAGTCAGGCTAGTTATCTCTAGGCCGTCTCATCCGCTTGAGGGAGTACAAGCAACGGATGGTACAGAGAGTGACAATGGGTGTGCCCGTAGTGAGGCGGCACAAAGTGATTGTGCTGGCGCACTTTGCCTGCAACGAATCGTTCACACCCGCTGGGGTTATCTGATACCCCCTGGGAGGCGATTCACATGTTGACTAATGCTATTGAGCCGAGTTACATGGACTTTTTACCCCAGCTCAAGAGATGCAAGTCTATATTGAGGCGAAACATGTAAAGGTTTGTAGGCAGAATTCGTATTCGGATTGCTGCCGAGTGTAGGAATCCGGTCTTGGGTCAGTGAAGCCTCAACTCGGAAGCGTGTCGAAGCCTTATCGCAAGATAAAATCTGAGCCAACGATAGGTTTTAGCGAGAGAAAAACCGGCTTTTACAGACTTGCTCATGCAAAAAGAAAGCAAAGTCGAGATTATGAAGTGTTGGTACGAGATCGAATCTGTGATTCACTTCGTAGGACCATACAAGGGACTATTTTTTGCTTGGACTGTTTGCGGTTTAGCAATTTGCTAATGGGGAAAGTTAATGTCTGGCCTATTACACCTACTCGTAGATATGTATATCGAGAACCGTTGTATGGCAACATTAATATTTCGTTGCTGAGATTGGGTTAAGCCTAGTTTTCCTTCACTGAGCTTAACCCATCCCACGTCTCTCTTCCTCTTGCAGTGGCTCTTTGAAGTACAGCACTTAGCCGGTGGCATCATCTGCCAGAAAAGCGATGCTTGGCACTAAATTACAATTTGCCAATGACAAAAGGAGCACATTCAATCTAACAGAATTCCAATTCACCATCAAGTCAGACTTTAATGGATAAGACGTAGATGTAGATTACATGTAGGCTAAACTTCCTGCCGGCGGGGCCACACAGGCTCTTGAATTAGCGTAAGACACAACATTCGATAGGAAGTCAATATTGATAATGACAAATTTAGCGATGTGCTCTACATATTGTACTTATAATGGTAACTTTTACAAACTGCAGGGGATTTAGTATTGGGATAGTGTCAGACACAAATTGATCAATTGAAAATTCGCTTAGTCAAGAAGCAATTTTAATCCTTAAGTTATTTCATTCATAAATGAATGACACCGTTGCTATTTGGCAACAAGGCAAATAAAGCCAAGAAAGTTTCCCAGAGATAATGAATAAAATAGGTGGAAAGACTAACTTCAGCATAGATTTCGAAATTAGTTTACCTTTATAGATGGTCTAAGTAATAAAAGGGAATCAGATTGGGTAAATATGTGTATAGAAAACCCACAAATGCGGATTTGGGATTTATTTAAACAATACATATAGACTAAAATTAGCAGATATTAAATCCAGGCTGCTAATTATCACAATCAGGAATTAAAGCGATTAAGATTATTTTAGTTAAGAACTATTATCTATTATGACTAGCTAGTAATTATTTTGGTATGTTAATGAGTAAGGCCCTAATGTTGCCATTTTGTCACCTCACTAAAAAGATAGGCAAATTATTGAGGAACTGGGACATCATGACAAATTATACTAATAAAATAGCACTTTCATATGCAATCCCTGATTTTAGAGATTATTCGGGCCATCTCTCCTAATAAGGACGTTACAAGGTTTTGTATTCATGTGACAGTGTCTATGTGGGGGTAGCCTGTGAAGGTTAGATGAATAAAAAGTGGGCCTCGATTACGCTCTTGAGATAACATTGCTGTGGTGACTTTCATTTCGTATGAAAGTGCATGATGAAGAGATCCCTTGGTCAGTTGTGGTCGGAACTACATACAA